TGCAGCCCCAGCAACTGGCCTCCTGTTTTAAATAGTAGGAAGGGTTTGGTCCCAAGCAAAAATACCCCCCCACAGATAAGATCAGGGTCTGTGGTATAGTTCAGGGTGTGGTCCAAGAGGTCCCCCCCCCACCCCCACCCCCCCGTTTGGTGATGTGTGATTGTTGAATCAGCCATGGCTCTGCTTCACTGCTGATGATTCCTATCCTCCGGGGGGAGACAGGGAGCCCCTGGGGCCCTGCAGCAGCCCTCACGACCAGCAGCAGGGCAGCCCCAAGCTCCATGACCATCATTGCAGAAAGGGGTGGCAGGGATGCGTGGAGTCATGTTTCTCTCTATCAGCATCTGTCTTTCTCTCTGTGTCCATGTCTTTGTATGTGTGTGTCTTTCTGTCTGTGTGTGTGAGTGTGTACCTGTCCATGTGTGTACCTGTGCAGGGAAAAATGTCCATTTGTGGTAGCTGCTTTTATCAATGCCTTTTGTGACAGTAGTTAGACAAGAAATTAACAGGTCAATTGTCCTGTGACTGCTTACACAGGGAGTCAACCTGCTGTAGTTATGCTTAGTGACCAATTTATTAGGCACATCTGCTTGTTAATACAAAGACCCACTCTTGTTGATGAATACAAAAAAAAGTACACAGACATGGTCAATAGGCCATTGGAAATGTGATTGTCTGTGTCTGATGTGGTTGTTCCAGGAGCTCAGAAACAGCTACCCTCCTGGGATTTTCATGTAGAGAATGATGCAGTCTGCGGATATTCTGTCACCAAAACACCTTGCTAATGAGGGAAGTCAGATGAGAACAGCCAGACTCATTAAAACTAGTTGGAAGAGTACAATGCAATAATAATAGCCCCATATATTAGAGGTGTGCAGAAAAGCTTATCTGAATAAACAGATGATCTACCAATGAAGTGGTTTTGGAGAAGAAGGCCTCCTACCTGGGATGGCTTTGGGGTAAATAAAGCTGCTGCTGAAGCATGCAGTAGTAATGTCATTGCAAAGGGTGAACTTGACCGTACTGATGATGTAAGATAACATTTTAACAAAGGATAAATGATTTTACATGGTTCAGATTTTTGAACAACTGTGTAGAGTGGTGAACAGTAGAGGAAAAGTACTCAGTTTTCATACTTAAGTAAAAGTACAGATACCATATCAAAATGCCACTCAAATAATAACCTTCCAGTGAAATACTAATCAAGTAGAAGTAAAAGGTACTTGTGTTTAAAATAGGGCTGCCACAATTAGTCGGTGTAGTTGTCGACATCAATGTTGACATTGATATTTTAAATCCAAAGTCTTTATTTTAATAAAATTACCTTTATGCTTTTGGAATCGCTTCAGTACTTTAAAACAAATGTTTTCCTTTAATATTGCTGCGCAATTAAATCATAATAATAATACAGTGGTACCTCAGTTCTCCAACTTAATCCGTTCAGAACTCCAGATCGAATCCTAAAAAGTTCTAGTTCTGATCGAATTTTCCCCATAAGAAATAATGGAAAACCAATTAATTGGTTCCCGGCTCCAAAAAATTACACCTAAACATGTTTTTTTTAGCATTTAAACACAAAATGAACTGGATAAAACAAGAAGAGCATATACTGTACTAAGCACATTTATCAAAACAGTAATTTGTAAAATAAGAAAATAAATGTATCCAAACAATGTGTCCTGCCCCGATCATCCGCTCCTTCCGTGTGCCACGCCCCCTCGTTAACCCCGGGTGGAATCCTCGTGTGATCAGCTGTTTCTGGTTCTTTTCATTAGTCCTCTGTATTTCATCCACGTTTCAGTTTGTTTTCCCCAGTCCAGTCATTGTATTGTCCGTCTGCGTTTTGCCTGCCTTGCCTGTAATTAAACCCTGTATTCCCCGATACCCTGACATCTGCGTCTTTGTCTCCGTTCCGTCCCAGCTCGGCAGAACAATATTATTATAATTAAATGTATTAATGGTTTATTATTAACATCAAAATAATAAGAAATCTTCATTTTTAAATGTATTTTATTATGTAATAATAATTACTGTTACTGTCTATCATTGTCTAAATGTATTTTTACTGTCTAAATATATGTATTCAGCTAGTGTAAACATGCATGATGCTATCACATCGAATGCAAGGCTGAGACTGAAGCTTTACCCTTTGTTTCAGCTGAGAGACGTGCCGCGTGACTCATTTCCCCGCGCATACAAATTGTCTTAGCTTGACGTTCACGGTTTGACTTCTGAGATTCAGATCGAGTTCTAGGTAAAAAAAATTTTAACTGGTTGGTTCGACTTTTAAGAAATTCGAGTTCTAATGAGTTTGAGAACTGAGGTACCACTGTAATTGATACTTTATTGATCCCCGTGGGGAAATTGTCTTTATGCCTTCTTCAGCTTGCTCTTTGTAGAGTAAGCTGTCCGCGAAGGGCTGCAACCTGCAGCACCGCACAGGGAGCTGGGGGTTAAGGGCCTGGCTCAAGGACCCGCAGACGTGCTGAGGTTGAGTTTGAACCGGTGACCTTCTGATTACAGGTACACAGGCTAAGCCCACTGTGCCACATGCTGCCTCCCTTAATCAAAAATATGGTAGTAGTTCAAATTATCAAAACAAAAAGGTGGTTTTATATTTTCCAAAGTTTCAATGGCATACCACAGTGACAGTGCTATGCATGAGCACCTGAAGAGGAAAGGCACAGGCACTATTCTGGATGATGGACCACCAGAAAAGGCAAAAAGCTTTTTAAATATCTTTTGTCATTCTAACTGCTACATACACTCATTATTAAAGCTATAAAGTTGCCTGCATGCTACCTTAGAATTTCCATTGAATAAGGGTTTATGAAAATGTTTTGGCTAGAATCTCCGCTTATTCCAGTGGTTCCCGAACTTTCTCTGCAGCGCCCCCCTTTTCTAGATAGGAACATTATTGAGCCCTCCCCTCCCCCCCACAGGTTCAGATTCAAACTTTATTTGAAATACAACTCCCTTTTCTAATTGAGTGAAACAAATGCAATTACAAAATACAAATGGTGCAATTTCACCACCGTGGGAGAAAAAAAAACAATCAATTACAAATAAAAGTCCAACATAAGATTGAAATTATGCAAATGCAGATTTAACATTCTGTTAATATTCATTACAGTACACAAATTAAAGTTTGTCGATTACCGCATTTTGTTTTTAATGATATCCGCAGGTTTCAGCCTATACTATAGCACAAAACAACACTAAATCACATACCCATTAATTTATAGTCTCCCTGCACTATATGTAGAAAAATTTAAACCTCGTTTCTCATGATATGGTTAGGTTTTTTGTCCGGCGCTACAAAACGTCGTCACGCGTCACCATGTCACATGGTGCAAAAACCTTGCAAGAGCAAGACAACTTAAGACAGATCGTACAGCACCTCTCAGCCGGCTGAATAAACTGGAACAGCCTCCGTGACGACGCAACTTTGCCCTTATTGGCTGAAGAACGTGACGTTTGTGTCCCAGGAAGTTCCGATGCATTATCTGCTATTTCTCCCGAAAATCACGTAAAGCAGTGAGAACTGGTTTTCAGTTAATTTACCAGGTAAAATAAAGTTTAAATGAATTACATAAATGCTCTAATAGTACACGTAAGTTAGTGGTCTATTTATTGTTAGTTACTGTAATGTTGCGCTGCTTTATTTGTTTAATCGTCCAGTCTGTGAAGAGATTATTTTAGGGTGGCACATGCCCCTGAGGTTATCCCATTGCTGCGCCCCCCAGTTTGGGAACCACTGGCTTATTCTATGTTGATTGACGAAGCCTGGATGTGTATTCATGTGCGTTGGGCTTGTTGGGACTAGTGTTGTTATCATAAGCTAAAACAAACAAACGGACACTAAATAAAAGAGAATAATTCGTGAACTGAAATAAAAATGAAAACTATATTAACAAAAAAAAAAAAAAAAAACGCCACACCAGCCTCACTCTTCAGTCACATCAGCCACTTTAGTGCTTATTACTTCCATGATTTACCAAAATAGTAGCATGCTCACTAACTAAATTTGAAAAGCATAAGGATGTGCTGAATTTATACAGATTACCAACTTTTGCGTGTCACAGTATGCATCTCTATAATATTTTAGACAGACAATCTGCTTTTCGAATTTGGGGACATTACTTATGCCCACAAGTGCCGAAAAGCCATCCTCTGTTTTCTTAAGCACTGCAATGACATACAGTTTGTTGTCAAAATAAATGAGTCAAGCTGATTTTCTGGAGGAAAGTTAATTGTTTAGATTAATCAACCAATCATAAAGTAGTTGATAGATTAATCCATGAAAAAATAGTCATTAGTGGTAGCCCTAATTTAAACATATCAAAAGTAAAACAAATAGTACATTCCAATCTGTTAATCTTACAAAAAGCAACCCACGCTGGATGTGTCTGACATTGCTATCATGGGACAGTAGCCTTCACCTTGCCCCTCTACGTCACATGCTGGCCCAGACACCGTTGTTCTGTGTCTCCTTCACGACCTGTTGCCCCTCTTCTTAAATGTAATTTGTCACAAATGCCCGGGACGGTGTGTGGCTTTGCAGGTTAAGACACTGTGCTGATGAGGCAAGGTTGCAGTTTCGAATCCCATGCTTTGCGGAGTGGGTCTCTGAACAAAAGGGCCCTTTGACCCAATTACTGTCTATGCCTGTTTCCTCAGTTATATCTTGCGTTGGATTTAAGCACCTGATAAATAATTAAATGTAAAAGTTTTGTCTCACACTGGCTACATATTTAATTTAACCACAGATAAATCAATGAGTGGGTCATCCTCATCCTACCTCACTCCTTTATGGTTTTTTGAAATGTTTTTGTTTTAGCAGTCATGCGGCTCTTTTCAGGCTGTGGTGTCCATGTGTGTGGCTCTGTAATCTTACTACAAATATTAAACACTCCTAACGACCCTGGAACCTCTGTGGAGGATTGGCAGGATGGCCTTGTGTCTGCCGTGTGTTTGAAGCCTCATTTGGTTCATTTCAGTGTATGAGCTGCTGTCAGCGCTACCTTGTGGGATGGAGGTGGACGACCAGAAGATTGTGAACAAGGGGCTGGAGGATGAGATGGTGAGAATTATTCATGTCAGTTAGGATGGAATGGAAACTGTGGATGATGCATGGATTTTATAGTACATGGTTGTATATGCCACTAGTAACATTTTTAATTAGAAAAAAACTAATCATATCTTCTGATTTTCATAATACACACAGAAGTAATATTACTGTTGCATCATGTGTTTTGCACAAATTTGAGTGGTGGTTGTGAAATGTGAAATAATAATAACACAAATTCCTGCTGATGGTGTTGTCCCGAGCAGATTCCTGTAATGAGATCACTCGGAGCCCTCCCGTCTCTGTCCTAATAACATGGGGTCCACTGCGAGTGGTCCTGACCTTAACCCCCGTCCCTGACCGGTCCTCGCAGGAGGTGTCCGGCTACAGACTGAGCCGTTGGAAGCTACTCCTGGTGGCCCTGGGTGCGGTGGCGAGTGGCGGCTTCCTGCTGCTGCTGCTTTATTGGCTGCCCGAGTGGTGCGTGAAGAGCACATGCACACGGAGCAGCGTGCGCGATGCCCAGGTGCTGCTGCTGCGCTCCACCGTACGTACCGCACTGGCTGTGTGTCCTCATTGTGCACCTCACCATCATCCACCTCATCAGGCACCTCCTCATTGCACATCTCGTCATCACACACCTCATCAGGCGCCTCCACTTTGCTTACCTCACCATCACACACCTCATCAGGCGCTTCCACTTCGCTTACCTCGCCATCACCACTTCCTCAAGCACCTCCTCATCGTGCACCTCACCATCACACACCTCCTCAAGCACCTTGTCATCGTGCACCTCGCCATCACATACCTCATCAGGCACCAACTCATGGTGCACGGTGCCATCACATATCTTGTTAGGTGCCTCCTCATCTTGCACCTTGCCATCATTTGCCTCCTTATTGTTCACCTCGCCATCACACATGTCATCAGGCACCTCTTCATCGCGCATGTCGTCATCACACACCTTTTAAGGTACCTCATCAAGGACCACGCCATCACACGCTTTCTCAAGCACCTCCTTATCATGCAGGTCGGCATCACACAACTTTTCAGGTGCCTCGTTATGTACCTTGCTATCACACACCTCCTCAGGTGCCTCCTGATTCAGCAGCATCAGCTTAAATTACCTTAAATGATCTTTGTTCAAAAGTGTGATTTTGAGTCAGAGTGTCAGCTTGTCCTTTCAAAATCTTTCCTTAAGTCACCCCAGAATTTGCAGCAACCATCAAATATCCCCATTCATTTGTTGACCATGTATACTATATTTGGCTAATAAATACCCCATCAAGTTATTTAACTAATTAATTAATTTAATTAAAAGAGCAGGTGTCTATTGACATTTACTCACTTATCACCACCAACTAATTTGGCAGGCCCTCTTGGTAAATATTAAGTTCTGTTTAGCTATACAGTTCATTTTCTACTCTCAAATATTGCAAAAACTTCAAATCCGTAGTTTCCCTGTTACTGTGAAGCAGACAACACTGAGCATCTTAACCATGCCTGTGTGTGCTTGTGCTAGTCAACATGTTGCTGTTCTGATGTCTGAAGTTTCTTTCCTGAGCTCCAGGAACTGGTTGCGCTCTGAGTCTTCCCTGATGAGGCAAAGTCATCGTGGAACTTGGATATTACAGTATAATTAAGTATAAATTAAAGAATAGTCTAATTTTACTTAATACAGTGGTACCTCAGTTCTCAAACTCATTAGAACTCGAATCAACCAGTTAGAAAAAAAAATTACCTAGAACTCGATCTGAATCTCAGAAGTCAAACCGTGAACGCTGACCTAAGATAACTTGTACACGCGGGAAAATGAGTCACGCAGCATCTCTCTCAGCGGAAACAAAGGGTAACGCTTCAGTCTCAGCCTCACAGTTGCTGTGATAGCCGAATACATATATTTAGACAGTAAAAAAACATTTAGACAATGATAGACAGTAACAGTAATTATTATATAATAAAATATACTTAAAAATAAAGATTTGTTATTAATTATTTTAATATTAATAATAAACCATTAATACATTTAATTATAATAATATTGTCGTGCCCAGCGGGGACAGAACGGAGACAAAGGCGCAGACGTCAGTGTATCGGGAATACGGGTTTAATTACAGGTAAGGCAGGCAAAACGCAGATGGACAATACAATGACCGGACTGGGGAAACAAACTGAAATGTGGACTAAATGCAGAGGACTAATGACAACAACCAGAAACAGCTGATCACACAGGGATTCCACATGGGGTGAACGAGAGGGCGTGGCACACGGAAGGAGCAGACGATCGGGGCAGGACACATTGTTTAGATACATTTATTTTCTTATTTTAAAAATTACTTTTTGATAAATGTGCTTAGATGTGTTTAGTACAGTATATGCTCTTCTTTATCATGTTCATTTTGTGTTTAAATGCTAAAAAAACATATTTCAATGTAATTTTTTGGGGCCGGGAACCAATTAATTGGTTTTCCATTATTTCTTATGGGGAAAATTCGAATCAGAACGCAAACTTTTTAGGATTCGATCCGGAGTTCTGAACGGATTAAATTCGAGTTCTGAGGTACCACTGTAATTGTGATGTTCCCCAAAAGTGGATGTTGAGGAAGTTATGCCCAGCTTGCTTGTTTTCCACCATTTTTAGTGGAAAGCTGCCTGTGAGGTTTCTGTTTCATTTACCAAAACATGTCTCTGAGAAGCCAAGCTAATATTATATATTTAAAGTATGATTTTATTGCCCAGTTGCCTTTTCTCTTTATACCTTAATATGCCCTGTAACCTCTAGTTTGCATTCCATTGAATACCTGGTGCCTGTCCCTGTTTTTGCAGTACTGTAAACACACTAAATGCCATGGGGTTTGCCGTAAAAGTTCCCTTTGCACCATGCGTCACGGAAGGATCTGACTCCCTCCGGGGATCGCCTCTCTATTACAGGACGAGTTCAGACGGTGGTTCCTCGCCAGGGTACGTGTGATGCTGGCCGCAGGCAGGAACCCTTTTGACAACCTGGATTCCCAGACCACCTCAGCCATGGCTAATGGCCACACCCCCCTCCCCTCAGGCAGCCCCCCGGGAGAGCTCATTAGGAAGTTCCAGGCGGAGTACCAGCCTCTGGAGGTACGAGCAAAACACATGCAGACACTCACCGACACAGACACAGACACAAGTCCATTTCTTCAGGCTCAGCTGACTTATTCTGAAGGAATTACTTACTCGAAAGCATGCAGTAAGAAGTAGTTCCCAGTTTCACTCTTTTTCCAGAATCTTTTTCCAGTGCTAAATTACAATTGGTTATCTAGGGGAAGACTGAGGCACATGACATTTTCAGTGTGCTATGTGATTTTCCCTCCCTCTCCTTTCAGTAGCCACGTTTGCATGTGCACATTCAGCATGAAATCATTCCAACTGGTGGTTCGAAGTGCAAGTTTTATAAGCAAAATACCATGATTTGAGTTTACGTGTCCGAAGTGTAGAATCAAATCAGATCTTCTGTGCATGTACACTGGCTCGCATCCAGGATTTCCGCACAGTCCTTCTGCAAGGATTTAACTCCAGTGAATGATAGCCAGCCTTTCCAACTGTTTATATTTAATATTAGAAAGTGAGAACAATACAGATGTCAGTTTGATCAAGGTATCTATTCCTGTGACCCATAAAATGTTTAAAAGTGTCTGCAACAAGTTATCGTTCAGCTTCTATCAGATTTGGGTTGTTTATTCCGATAAAGCTTCATTCTGATTATTGATTACGGTGGCCCCGAGTGAGATCAGTGCCAAATATACGAGAGCGCAGATGCATAGCTAAACCGAGCAAAACAGACACTACGAGCGCGTATTGCGCCTTTGAAACGCAGATAAGAGCTTTCGCTTCTCGCAGCCTCGCGCTCGATTCACCGTTTCTTTCGCGCTTTGCAATTTTCTGCTCGTTTTGTAATTAAAACTGAAAATTACGTCAGAGATTCAAGGCGTGATAACTGATTTCCGAGACTGTTGATTGAAAGCGCGCAAAAGGGTATGGCTGCAGAGCGTGCACTCAGCTATATGCACGCTCAGCGACAATGGGAAGTGCAACCAGGGAATCGTTTTCTAATTGCTACGTTAGTGCTAATAAAGTGTAAAAATGGTACGTTTTTGAATTACAGTCTTGCCAATTATGAACGATATGAAATATTCTTAATCTGGCCTTTGTTGGTTTATTAAAATGTTAAAATACCAGATTAAGTAAATCAAGCTAAATGCTTGCCTGTTATTCTTGTAATTATTAGCATCCTGGCTGTGGTAGCGTAGCGAGAGCACTGATGTTCAGACCCTGCTACTTTATTTTTTCCGCTGTTATACCAAGGAAAAATTCATTGTGCAACCATCATAACTCGCTAACATACGCACGCAGTGCGCGTGTCCCCTTATTCTATATAACCACTGTTACATGCATACAGATATATATGACATACATACATGTATTACATACAGTGATCATCCACTATATCGCGGTTCACCTATTGCGTCCCTGCTATATCGCGGATTTTTCCCTGACAGATCACAGTTCTCTGCGATGTGTGTGTGTGTGTGTGTGTGTGTATATATATATATATATATATATATATATACAGTGGTACCTCGAAACTCGAACTTAATCCGTTCAGAATTCCAGATCGAATCCTAAAAAGTTCGAGTTCTGATCGAATTTTCCCCATAAGAAATAATGGAAAACCAATTATTTGGTTCCCAGCCCCAAAAAATTATACCTAAATATGTTTTTTTTAGCATTTAAACACAAAATGAACCAGATAAAACAAGAAGAGCATATACTGTACTAAACACATCTAAGCACATTTATCAAAACAGTAATTTTTAAAATAAGAAAATAAATGTATCCAAACAATGTGTCCTGCCCCGATCGTCCGCTCCTTCCGTGTGCCACGCCCCCTCGTTAACCCTGTGTGGAATCCTCATGTGATCAGCTGTTTCTGGTTCTTTTCATTAGTCCTCTGTATTTCGTTTGCATTTCAGTTTGTTTCCCCAGTCCGGTCATTGTATTGTCCGTCTGCATTTTTCCTGCCTTACCTGTAATTAAACTCCCCGATGCCCTGACGTCTGCGCCATTGTCTCCGTTCCGTTCCCGGCTGGCTTCTGATGAGCCACACTAGTTGTCAGGTAAATACCAGGAACAGGTGTGGCTCATCAGTAGCCAGGTAGGATAGAAAACCTACTGGATAGTAGCTCTCCAGGACCGGAGTTGGTGAAAAAATTCATTCTGCAGCCATACCCTTTTACGCGCTTTCATTCCACAGTCTCTGAAATCAGCTACCACGCCTTGAATCTCTGACGTAATTTCCTGTTTTATTTACAAAACGAGCAGAAAACTGCGAAGAGCGCAGGGTTTTCAGAAGCGAACAGAAAACTAAGGCTACGTTCACACTGCCAGCCACATCATTCAATTCCAATTTTTTTACTAAATAACAATACTAAATAACAAAAACCGAATACACGTTGAACACTGAAAATATCTAAACCATCAAACATCGCAACCATCGAACAACAACAATCAACGAACCACTGGGGAACTGAACAGAAGCAGGAACTAAAATACTAAGGGGTAACGAGACTAACACAGGACAGGTGAGGCTAATTAACAAAGACCAGGGAAACGGGGCACAGGTGAAACGAATAAACTCAAAGGAACTAAAAACAGGGAAACTAAGAACTAACCAAGGAATAAGGAACCAACACTGGGGAATTACAGACAGGTAAAGACAAGCAGGGCCACAAGGAACAAAACAAAAACCAACTACAAAATCAAACACAAGAACTAGAGAAACTCAAATGAAACACTAGGGAGCAAAATACAAAAACAGGAGGTGGGATTCAAACACAGGACAGAACGTACAAAGACAACCGGAAGCTCAAGGTGTTGAGCCATGAGGCCAACAGAACAGGGGAAACTCAAAGACAAACATGAAGGACGGGATGACCAGCAATGCCTGCTGGCCAAACAGGGAAGGGACACAGAGTGACAACAGGGGCTGACCCTGACAACCTCTGTATTACAATTAAAATTAAAATTACTGTACGTATGGACCGTAGGCCTATGTATTTGAGCACCCCCGCAAATCCTTCAACGCCAGATGCAGCCAAATAATAAAGAAATAAAGAATCCTACTTTGCGGAAATTCATTTAACGCGGTAGAGTCTGGAACGGATTACAATTGGTACAATTGGTACAATTGAACCCTGTAAGTCAGACTCGTTTTCAGTGAGGGTCGGACTCCATCAGGGCTGCCCTTTGTCACCGATTCTGTTCATAGTTTTGATGGACAGAATTTCTAGGCACAGCCAGGGCATTGAGGGTGTCCGGTTTGGTGACCTCAGGATTAGGTCTCTGCTTTTTGCAGATGATGTGGTTCTGTTGGCCTCACCAGACCGTGACCTTCAGCTCTCACTTGGACAGTTCGCAGCCAAGTGTGAAGTGGCTAGGATGAGAATCAGCACCTCCAAATCCGAGACCATGGTCCTCAGCCAGAAAAGGGTAGAATGCTCTCTCCGGGTCGGGGATGGGGTCCTCCCCAAAGTGGAGGAGTTTAAGTATCTCGGGGTCTTGTTCACGAGTGAGGGGACGATGGAACGGGAGATCGACAGGCGGATCGGTGCGGCGTCCGCAGTGATGCGGGCTTCATCGGTCTGTCATGGTGAAGAAAGAACTGAGCCAAAAGGCAAAGCACTCGATTTACCAGTCGATCTACGTTCCTACCCTCACCTATGGTCACAAGCTGAGGGTAGTGACAGAAAGAACAAGATCCGAGTGCCGAGTGTAAGCGGCCGAAATGAGTTTCCTCCTCATGGTGGCTGGGCTCTCCCTTAGAGATGAGGAGCTCGGTCATTCGGGAGGGACTCAGTAGAGCCGCTGCTCCTCCACATTGAGAGGAGCCAGATGAGGTGGCTCGGGCATCTGATTAAGATGCCTCCTGGACGCCTCCCTGGTGAGGTGTTCTGGGCATGTCCCACTGGGAGGAGGCCCCGGGGAAGACCCAGGACATGCTTGAGGGACTATGTCTCTCGGCTGGCCTGGGAACACCTCGGGATTCCCCCAGAGGAGCTGGATGAAGTGGCCAGGGAGAAGGAAGTCTGGGTTTCCCTGCTGAGACAGCTGCCCCCGCGACCCGACCTCGTATCAAGCGGGAGATGATGGATGGATGGATGGTTTGAGTGGATGGATGGATGGATGGATCATTGTTGTTTTGTGAAATGTTGAGATTTCTGAAATATTGTGTTTTCAGAAATGTATTTTGTTGAAACGTTGTTGTGTTTTGACACTCAGGTATTAATACACTCCATGTAAACGTAGCTATTGTGGTACAACTTTACTCTTCTAGCCCTCCAGACCTTCTGCCTACCCTCTCCGTGAAGTGGGAGCAATTCTCACTTTAATATTGGCTAAGAAATAGAAATACAGTAACTCTAAATGCTTTACACCATACATTTCTTTGTGTGTGTTTGTAGTCTCTTTTAGTAATTTCCAATATCTCAGCTGTCTGTTAGACTATACATCAGACAGATCATCCTCAGAGTGCAGTGCAGTCTTTTCTCATACTATCCCCGCATGTTCTGTATGAAGTGAGGTTCTCCACATATGGCTTGCCTGTCTCAGATGTCATATTATCACCCCCCCTGCCACCTGGCCAGATCACAGGTTGCCCCATGACAGGGACCCTGTGACCATTGGAGCCCGAACTGAGGACATGACCTGACGATAACTGATCACAGGTCCCCCCCCCCCAGCCTGTGCATTATCCCCATGATGAGATTACTGAATGTTCATGGTCTTTCCTCCCATCCAGATCCGCTACTTTACACTCCACAGCACAAAGTACTACTGGAATAATGAGGTCCAGAACTTTGAGGTGTTAACGTAAGTCATCCGTTTTCACTCTAAACTCATTTTATATTGATCTTGTTTCTATTTTTTTTCTTTTCTGGGATAGACATGTAACCAGCATGAATATAGCATTGTGATTTCGCCATAATGATAGAACTTTTATGACATCCTACAGACATTTCCCCCGCCTTATGAATTTCTGTTCTGACTTGTATATTGTGGAGATTGCTATTAGTGCCCCCTAACCCCCGTCTAATGTGCACAGGGGACTGGAAGACATGGAAGTGACGTGCTCTTCTATCCACATGGAACACAGCACGGGACTGGCCAGAAGCCAGCAAGAGTATAGGTATGGGTGTACCTCACTATGTCCTTTCCACCCTATCCCCTTCCACCCTGCCCCTACCATCCTGAACTTCCACCCTGTCCCCTCCACCCTGCCCCTTGCACCCTGTCCCCTCCACCCTGTCCCCTACCATCCTGAACTTCCACCCTGTCCCCTACCATCCTGAACTTCCACCCTGTCCCCTCCACCCTGCCCCTTGCACCCTGCCCCCTTCACCCTGTCCCCTACCATCCTGAACTTCCACCATGCCCCTTTAGCTCTAGCTGGGGCTGACTGTACTAATGTATGTTTTTATTGCTGATTTGTTATGTATCCATCCATCACTCCTTCCATCTTCCAAATACTTATCTGGGACAGTTCCAGGGAAACATGTGCTACACATACTTTTTGAGTCTCATATCGTAATAAAATCATTTTGAATTTCGTCACTGTGGAATGAGGTTCTGTAAAAGACATTGCAGTACCTGCACCATGTGATTCATTTTCGTTTCTTATTTTTTGACAGGAGGTTATTTTTCGGAATAAACGAAATTGCGGTGAAAGTGCCTTCTGTTTTCAAGCTGCTAATTAAAGAGGTACGTCATTCATGCCGGCATTAATGAATGCATCTTCCCTTGATGTCCAAGGTAGCATTCAGCTCTGCGTTGAGAGTAGAGTAAATGTGGACTGCACAAATCCTGTTTTCAGCAGAGTGATTCCACTGCTGGGCCCCTGCATGAGGCCCTCTCCCCCCTACTGCTCCAGGCCCTGCCTCACCCTGCTTTTTCAGTTGAATATTGCATTGAATAAAATGTCTGCTAACTAAATGTAATATGAAAGGGTGTAATGCGAAATCTCTCATTCCACCACATCTTTTGACCCTATGGGGACTAGGGGTAGGGAACACACTTTCACTGACTTCAGCATGATCACACATCTCTTTCAATATCATAAACTTAATTCATGGAAAATAAATTATTTCTTATATATTTGTTTTGGCATTACACTCATCTTAATTTTAATATATATTGTAAATATGTCAGATTTGTGTTAAGTTTGTAATTTGACATCAAAGTATAGACATTGCAAAATGCAGTTTGGAACACGTGCAGAAACATTATAAAAGTACATAGTAAGCAATGGTGCCAGTTTGTGTTGATCCCAGATATCTGATCACCAAAGTCTTGGCTACATGAAGATGACTAAATGGTGTAGTTGCAACATTCAGTTGGATAAATAAATAAGAAAAACCTAACTCATGTAACTATTTCTGGCTCCTTTCATTGAATATGAAGGAGCTCTCATGTGTATGCGTGAGCCATTCACACTTGGCCACATCCCCACCCCCCCACCCCTTTATGGTGCTGATGCGGATGTATCTGGATCGCGTTTCACCGTTGTATTGTTCATCAAATTACCATGCGAATGCGATTTAAATACGTGGTAATGCGGCTATTTAGAATGTGAATAGTGAACTTTAGGTGAGAGCGGTACTATACGCCCCAGGTAAAACAAAATAAGCTGACATGGTTTACTTTTTTGCCAACTTAACCTAATTTTAAAAACTTTAATACTTCCAACAATGGACGTTTTGAAAAGAAGACAGATTACCGATTTAGCCAGCGTTTTTTTTTCATGTTTGTACCAAAAGATTTCAGCGAGTTAAGAACTGAAATACATGAGAAAGATACGCGTCATCGCTGACGATGCCCTCGTCCCCAGAGGGTTAAATACCATTATTAAATGATTATTTCTTAAAATACCTTTGTGGATGTGACTGGAGTGTTGGCACACAGACTTATGTTGTTGTCCTAATGGCCCCTGTCTGCCCCCTGCAGGTCCTGAACCCTTTCTACATCTTCCAGCTTTTCAGTGTTATTTTATGGAGCGCTGATGAATATTACTATTATGCCATGGCCATCGTTTTAATGTCCGTCATATCGATAGCTACCTCTCTGTACACAATCAAGAAGGTGAGTGGGGGTGGCCTGTCTGGGCCTGATTTTGGCCTGATTGGGTGGGCTTGGGTTTGGGGAGCGGCTGAGGGAAGCAGGACGTTTGATTTGGATCCTCTGTCAGGGAGCTGGGAGAAGCCTCTCTGAAGGCCCGAATCTGCTGAGGAGCTTCTCACTCTGTTGGGTGTCATGGACACTCTTCTGTTTGGCTTTCCCACACTCACTTTTCTTTTTTGCCTTTTTCCCCAGCAATACATTATGCTACACGACATGGTGGCAGCACACAGTATCATCCGGGTGTCCGTCTGCAGAGCTAATGACGGTATGTGAAAAGCTTCAAACCCTGCTTGGTACACGCAGCTTTTCTGTGCCCTTGGAAGTACAGGAAATAGTGAGAAACAGACTTTAAGGGGATATCTCCAAGTTGTGCAATTCCACTAAGGCCTTTTAAAGACAATTGAGGAAGTGATCCTTTTATTTTTTCACGATGGGGTGGACTTAGGAATGCTTTATGGCATTAAGCTGAGGGTTTGGCTCAGTCCCTGTGGACAGATAAATGAGCACCAGCCTGTGATCAGCAGCCTCTTCAAGCCTCTCTTCTGCAAACGTCACAGTGTAAGCTGTGGCGGGCCCTGGCTCTGGAAAGAGCACAGGTGGGACTGTCCCACCCAGCGTGACCCTGGACCTGTGTCTCCAGCTTCACATGCATCTGACTGATACCGCCACACTTTTGCAGCTTAAAGCTGCCATTTCAATGTCTTAATAGCATAGAATAGAATACTTCTTTAATGTCCATCAAATTTACATCAGATGTGAAATTCATCTTTCACTGTGACGTAATTTTACACAAAATACAGACAACACTATGCACAATAAACATATGTCAATGCAACTAAATATAAGTAAAATATGTTATAAAATCATTCCAGTTTACTCGAGGAGCTGCCATTTCAATGTCTTAACATAACAGATATTAATGGATCAAAGGTTAGGAGGAGGACAGGTCCTCGGGGGAGGGGGCGGGTCTAGATACTGGGCGAATGATATCTTATTCAGAAAAAGGGGAAGCAGAGGATTCCTCAAGTCTTGCTGGCCCATTAACTGCCCCACCCCTTACCAATTTTAATTTTTTTCACAGAAATCGAGGAGGCCATGTCCACTGACCTTGTCCCGGGTGATATCATAGTCATTCCGACCAATGGGACCATCATGCCTTGCGATGCCGTTCTGGTCAGCGGAACCTGCATAGTCAACGAGAGCATGCTTACGGGTATGAGTGCCACCCCACAGTCTCCTAATGGCTTTTTCAAAGTTATTTGTCTTTACCTAGCAAAGAAATTCATCTTGTGAAAAGTTCATCCTGATCATAAGAAGCTTACCTGATGGCAGGGCCAGTCAGTCCTACAGGTGTCATGGGTGGTCACCTCCAGCATTGACTTCTGAGGGGGTGCAGACTTCACTTTGTCTTTGGCCTTGTTCACACCTGGTATTAACATGTGTCCTGGATGATCCGATCACAAGTAGACAGTGCTAATTACAGGTGTGAACGGATTGAGGATGCATTGAGCTCAGACCACTCAAACCGCATTCAGAGGTGGTCTGGGACACACATGACCACATTCTTATAGCAGTGTGAACGCAGACCCAGGCCGCATTGAAAGACCACCTAGTCCGTGTGTGGGTGGACTTACGTATGTACTCATTAAACGCACGAGCAGTATTTAATACATGATTTGTGTCAGGACATCTGTCAGTGCACTAAACTGCATTGAGAACAACAACGCATCTTTTTCCCTACAGCACCAAAAAATAAGTTTGAATCTACTGGGAAGTTGGTTTAATATAGGACTGTCGCGACCCATTTGCAATGTTAATATTCCGTGCAAATTCGGCAAAAAATAAATTGTGTAAAAAGTGATTTGTTAAAGATGTTTTGGAATTTGCACAGATCCATATTTAATGCAAACTTTGATGAAGCTTCTTTATTTATGTCAAAGCTCCTTCACGTTTTATTAATATTGGTGAACCGTACCGGTAAAAATTACATTAAGGTAAGAATGTGCGTTCAGTAGGCTAGATAATGGATTTGTTAATAGAAACATATAATTGTTTATATAGTTTTACACTGGACTGTCCGGGGGCTTCATCTCCTGGTCAGAATTTCAGTCTCAATCCAGTGAAGCAATGAACCTCTTCTTTGAAATTTTCACAAATTTTGAGCTTAATTGGTTATGATTAAAAGCCGAAATATTATGATATGGCAACCAACATAATGTTTTGCAGACTGAACCCTTTGCCCTTAAACAGAAAAGTATTGACCTGCCCTAGGCATATGTTGAAAGACCTTTTTAACACAAGGGGAACAGTGTCAAGGATGCTGTCAGCTTAGTGACCAAAAAAGAAGCGAAGACATGAAAATGATAAGCAAAGATTAATAGAGCCCGATATTCTTTTTTTTCTTCCGAAACAAATAACATAAACATGTTTTCCCTAACATTTGTTATATATTATAAGTCCTCACCAAGATAATGACATCATGTAGTTTAAAAATAAGCTTGTCATGATTTGTACATTGAACAAAAGTACAACAAAATATATTAAAGTTTTGATACGATTCAAATATATAAAAATACCAATGTGTACTGGTGACAGGAGAGTTGGACAAACTCTGCAGTGACAGCACTCGTAATATGGTTGAAGGAGTGATAGCTGCAAGGCTAGGGATTTGTGTTGGCAAATGGGAGGTTGCCACTGAATGCCAGGAGTAATTCTACTTTGTTGGGCCCTTGAACAAGGCCTTTAACCTGCAATTGCTTCATCCTGGGTATGACATTAACCTACATCCAGCCCTGCAAATTTCCAAGGAATATTTGGGGATTGGTGGCTGGATTGGCACTCCATCTCGAAAATAGTATTTTATGCAGCTTTTTCAAACTTTGCAAGTGCATTGTAGGGATGACAGTCTGGAATTGACCAAATATTGAGACAGATCGCACCAAAACTGAAGCTGCACCAAATAATGGGGGGAAAAAAGGGTATATGCAGACATTTGATCGAAATTGAAGGAAAAGTATGTGACAATGTATTTGCAACTTTTGCAGACCGGTGGTAAGGGTGAAATTCTGGATTTGATCAAATTTTGAGACAAGTTGCCCAAAAATTTAAGCAGGACCACATACTAATAGCTAAGAGAAGGGCAGTTGCATGTACCTGATTTTATCTCAAAATGTATGTGTTCTTTTCCAAACTTTTCCATTGTATTTTATGAGTGAAGAGCTGAACCTCTTCATATTTTGAAACAAATTGCAGCAAAATTGAAGCAACAATGCTTCATGACAACCAAGGGAGGGGTGATGTAGATAACATGCTTGACCTTGTGAACAGGATAACAGGATAAATTTGATATTATTACTGTATTTACTAGGGGTGTAAATCACAGCTACAGTATCGATTCCTTAAGCCAACGGTTCGATTTTTTTTGATACCGCAGAAATTCCCACGATATGATGTGATACGATACGATTAGATTCAGTTCGATACTGGGGATAGTAGTCGAAATAATGAAATTTCACACAATCCTTTACATTTCAATGGATTAAAAAAGGGAAATATAATTAGCATTTTATCATATTTTATTGGGAACTGTAAACAAAATCTAGTGTAGTCAAGTATGTCCCATAAATCAAGCAAAATAAAGTGCAATAAGGTAAAAATAAAAACTTTGGATGTAGATTAACATGGTGAATAATTTTTATTTTGAATCAAGTCTTCTACAGACAAATACAAAAATGTAACAAAAGTATGTCCATAACTGTCATGACCTGCTCGTATGACCCTCTCGTGTGCTAGAGGCTTCTTACTTGGTCCAGCTCCCCCATTCACTTTTATACCCTTTCTTAAGTTTAATAGAAATAAATTGGAGGCTAACTAGGCGACTCGGTAGCTTGCAGCAGCTTGCGCGGTTGAACACGTCATTCGTCCTCTATTTTTTATGCCATACGATCTACCCACACTACCTTTACGATCGACCAGTAGATCGCGATCGACGTATTGGGCACCCCTGGTGTAGACCATGTATACGTCGGAGTGGATCATGAAAACAATACTGGAACAGGCCAGAAAATAAAAACGTATGTATCGATATTTATGTGGTCACATCGATGCATCGGATCGTTTGGCGTTGAATCGATATATCGATACAAATCGATGTATTGCTACACCCCTAGTGTTTACTGTATTTGATCTTCGATGGATCTTAATACCATAAAAACATTAAATGGATGAAAATATACACCTGACAATCTACACTTGATAGACCTGAGACAAATCACCCCAAATTTGAAACGGCAGCGATAGGTGGCAGCAGCCACCATGTTCTGAATACAGCCACTTGCCATCTAAACATATTTCATTGATCTTTTTGCTAACTTCCCAGGAACATTGTACAGGTCAGTGATTCTCAAACTGTTGGGCGTGAGGAGATAAAATAAACTTTTTTTTTTTTTTATTGCTGCCTCGCCGCTTAGCAGTTTTTATTTATAGCAGTCCACTCATCATGAGGAACTTGGTGAAATTTGTTATGGGTGAATTTAATTAAAGTTCGGCTTTAAGGATCTTTTAGAGTGCTGTAGGTAGTCTTGGACAGTGTTACAGCAATATTTTTGTTATACAGTGGTATTTTCGTTTGGAAGAATTTTATCATGGGGAAATTTAATTTTAATCATCATTAAATCATAAATCATTAAAGTATGCTTATTAAAGTTCAGTTGTATATGCACTGGGGTAATACATTGTCTTTCTGACTGCATCTTTTCTAGATTGTAATTATTTGTAGTTATTTGTAAAAGTTACATATTTATTGCATTATCACACAAATTTATATTAAGCCAAGAACACTATTTCTTCACTTTTATAATTTGTGAATTTATTTTGGCATTGACAGTAGTGTGTTGGGGGGTGTTTTGGTGGCGGGAGACACTAATGGGTCCCCCTTGGTGCCCCACTACAGGTGAGAGCGTGCCCGTCACCAAGACCAACCTTCCTAACCCTGGGCAGGTGGCCAAGGGCTCTGCGGGCGACAGCACCTACAGCATAGAGGAGCATAAGAGGCACACTCTGTTCTGTGGCACGACCGTCATCCAGACGCGCTTCTATGCTGGGGAGCCTGTCAAGGCGGTGGTGGTCCGCACAGGTAATACTCTGGGAGGGGCTTTCAGACTGCACTGTTGGCCAGAAGTCAGTGCATATTTGCTTTATCATGTATACTTTTGTCTTAAAAGTTTCTGCTCTTGTTGAAGTGCTAAGTACGGTATACAGCTTCTGGTACTACTGGGTGGGTTAGCACTAATCTGCAGTTTGTTCCAATTAACAGCTTCTCTGTTTGTGTGGAAATGTGACAGTTTGTCTAAATGTATACCTGGTGACCATGTGTAAGCCCATGCCTCTCTTTCTATCTTTCTGTGTGTCCATTGTGGGGGACCCCCCCAGGCTTTAACACTGCCAAAGGTCAGCTGGTGCGCTCCATCCTTTACCCCAAACCCACGGATTTCAAGCTGTACCGGGACGCCTATCTGTTCTTGCTCTGCCTGGTGGCCGTGGCTGGCATCGGATTCATCTACTCCATTGTCCTCAGCATCCTGAACAAGGTGCCCTTCCCGGCAGGTACGGAAGCAGGTGAGCGGGATGCTGGGAGTGGGAGCTGCCTGACACTATCGTGCCGTCCTCCCCACCAAACAGGTACCGGCTGAAACCATCATTATCGAGTCGCTGGACATAATCACCATCACGGTGCCCCCAGCGCTGCCTGCCGCGCTGACCGCTGGCATCGTCTACGCACAGCGCCGCCTCAGGCGCATCGGTATCTTCTGCATCAGCCCTCAAAGGATCAACATCTGCGGCCAGATCAACTTAGTCTGCTTTGACAAGGTATTCCCAGTGCAGCCTGCAGGGGGAACTTTTCAGAGTCCTGCTCCTCTGATCCAGGCAGCATCAGGTACATGAAAGCTGTTGAGTTTACTTTTGGCCTGCGCTTACACACAGCCAGCTCTAGCTATAGGCAAACGAGACAATTTCTTATGGCCCCCAAATTACCTGTATTGCAGAGGAAGTTAAATGATTATCAGTTTTCATGGTAGGCGGGCCTCCCAAGTAATGCTTTGCCTGGGACCCCTCAAAAGTTAACTCCGGCCCTTCGCTTGTGAATATAACTGTTGCTTTTCAGACGGGCACCCTGACTGAAGATGGCCTGGACCTCTGGGGTATTCAGAGAGCAGAGGATGGCCGGTAAGGTTCATTTTGTCAGTCTGTGGAACATGCCAGCAAACTTGGGGCCTGATCCTGTCTCCTGACCCCCACAGCTTCAATCTTTCTGAGTCGGACCCCTTCAAGGAGTCTCTGGTGCAGTCACCGTTTGTGGCCTGCATGGCCTCCTGTCACTCGCTCACCAAGATCAGTGGGGAGCTGTCTGGGGATCCCCTGGACCTGAAGATGTTCGAGGCCACGGGCTGGGTAGGTGATTATAGCCAAGGACACCAGTTAGCTCATCGTGATCTTTGTGTAGTTAATGCAAAGGCTGCTTTTGCTATATATCCTTAATTAATTCATATGTATTATTAAACCATTTGGAATTTCTTAGCTTTACCCAAAATGTTTTTCTGTTCACTGCGCAAATAATGACTCAGACAAAATCCTCGCTGCTGGAAAGACTTTGGGCTTTGGAAAAGACATGCACATATCTGGCTTCTGTCCTCTCCCAACCCCCCTTCTCCCAAACACAGATCCTGGAGGAAGCCACGGAGGAGGAAACAGCCCTCCATGACCGCATGATGCCCACCGTGGTGCGACCGCCCAAACAGCTGCTTCCCGTGCAGGCCGGGTCCGACGATCGGGACATGGTGCGTAATGACCCCTAGCAGCAATTTTTTCTATCTCTGCTTAATACTCTGCAGTGTCATCAAACGCTGGAAACCTTGCACTGAATTTCTTTACCCTCTTTCTAACTTGATAAACTCTTTTAATTATGTTTTATCAAGTCCCAAATTTACTACTGTGATGCCTGGCTTTGTGTCTCCGGGGAAGTTTCTCATTTTAATGGGACATTTTCTTTCTTCCCCTCTCTGTTCTTTCAGGAGCTACGGGAACTGCAGGTGAATAATCTCGTCCTGTGCTCTTGATGCGTGGTTCACTCATCATCTGAATGAGGCCATGTGGAGGTTAACCCTTTTATGTTGCTCTTCACAGTCATCCTACGAGATTGGAATAGTGCGCCAGTTCCCATTTTCCTCTGCGCTGCAAAGGATGACTGTGGTGGCCAGGCGGCTGGGGGAGAAACATATGGATGCTTACCTCAAGGGGGCGCCAGAGATAGTGACCAGCCTCTGTAAAAAAGAAACAGGTTGAGCTTTATTGTTTGCTTCTTTTTGTTTGTTTTTTGGTTCTTTATGGATGGGTGGATGGATGTTTCTTTTTGACTGAAAAGGCTTCCAGTTCATTGTAAATGTCTACTTTAACAGAACAATGTCTAGCTCTTTTAGAATGGCTGTTTTCTGTTACCCAGGGAATGATGTCAAGTATAATGCCTCAGTATAGTCTTCATCATCATCATCATGTCAATAGGTCTCTTCTCCCTAATGATAGTTAGCTGCCTAGGCCAGTTGTTTGAAATGGGTTAATTTTACTTGAAGACATCACTTGAAGATAAGTTAGCTCTCTGAAATGATGTCATATTATGTATATTATGTCTTACCGGTGTTCTGGCTTTTTATCCATGAGTTGTGATAAGCATGGAGTTACATTCTATGCATCAGATGTATGTCTGACTGGCCCATCCAAACAGCCATCTAATTGGTCTTTTAATCCCCCACAGTCCCGGATGACTTTTCCACAGTTTTGGAGGACTATACCAAGCAAGGCTTCAGAGTAATTGCTCTAGCACACCGTCAGCTGGCATCAAAGCTCACCTGGCATAAAGTGCAAAATATCAGCAGGTATCCACCGTCTCTATACACTGCCCTGCATATGCCTTGTGTTTCATCGAGGCACACCATAAGCTGTATCTCCATACCATCACCCTAACCTATCCATGCTGTCTCCATAACCTGTCTCTACCCGTCACCCTAACCCGTCATTTTACTGCCAGCATTGCTAGAAGTTCAGTGAGGAATCATCTCTGAAATATAACTATTTTGAATTAAATCTTCACTAGGATTAGACCTGTTCTGTCAATAAATCTAACACATTTCCTCATAGGTCCTTTTGTTATGAGGTCATAGCTGTTTTATCCAAAAGTACTGAATTATATATGGATTAGACAAACACCAGCAGTCCTATTACTAATAGTTAAAATTGTTGAACTGGCTGTTACAGATCCACATTTACACAGCCATCTCCGGACTGGCTATTGTTTTGATTCTGGATTACATACATATGTCATTCATTTGTGCGATTATGTCCTATTTAGGGATCACATTGAGAAAAACATGGATTTCCTGGGGCTGATCATCATGCAGAACAAGCTGAAGACTGAGACACCAGCGGTCCTGGCAGATCTCCGGCGGGCCAGCATCCGCACCGTGATGGTCACGGGTGAGGGAGGGGTTGCAGTTTGTGGGTCACTTTGCATGTGCAAACTTAACTTCTGGTCACAGGTCAACAAGATAATAGATTGCTGTAGAGGCTGCTGGGATTGCTGCACTGTGAGGGAGTAGTGTAGATGCTGTGTGCACGTGTGTTGTATTGTACGCCAATTGAAGCGTTTGATTGGAATTATTTGGAAGTATATTTGAGTGTTTGTGTGCCAGTACGATTACGTGGGTGGTTGTTATGTTTTTTTCCGGTTGGCATGAGTGCTTGTCTGTCTTTGTTAATAAACAGTGCGAGTGTTACCGAAAGCTGCGGGTGTCGCTTGAGCGGCGTTTCTGTCCGCGTACCTTCGCTACAAACGCCCGCGGGGGTAATATCTAATATCGATGATGTTAACTCTGAAAAGGACAGTTGCTCCTGAGCTTTGCTCGGTCGCCATTCGGGGCCAGGAGGACATTTTCCACTTTTTTTTCCACTCCGGCAGTAGCCTGCTTTGAGAGGGTTTTTTGTGGTTTTTCGGCCTCCCTAGAGCAACTTCGCTTTGTTTTAGTTAAACATGATTCAGTAGGAAATTAAGTAATTGTTAATTTGCTTAATTTACTTTTTGTAAATGTACTGTTTTATTGTACTCTGCATTTTATTATATTAACTATACGTTAATTAAATCAAGTAAAATTTAAATATGCTATATAAATATACTGAGCTGGGAGTAAGGGATAGTGTAATAGTGAGATAGTTATGGGGCCAGCTCAGTGTTGTGTTTGCAAGATGTTTGCCCTTCTGGATGTTTGCGTCCAGTTGGACTTCATCTGTGAGCGATGTAAGTTAGTGGTCAAGGTTTGTGACCTAGAGGAGCAACTGGCTCTCATCCAACACAACAATTAGTTAAAGGAGAGAGTTAATACACCTTTTAGGGAGACAGTATGTATGTCACAAGCGGGGAGGGAGGAGAATGTAGGGCAGAGAGGTCGAGAGAGCTGGTTGAATGTGGGTCATAGACGTAGAAAAGGGCGTACACAGTTTACAGAGGCGGCATCACCTGAAATGACTGTGTCTAACCGCTTTCAGATGCTTCCAGCTTTAGAGCCGGAAGAGACTGGGGGGGCAAGAGGGTCCTTGGGTACTGAGGAGCCCCCTACCCCCAGGAAGAGGGAGGTTGTGGTAGTAGGGGATTCAGTTATTAGAGGTGTAGATAGTTATGTGTGCACCCATGATAGAGGGTCCCGTACGGTGTCTTGCCTGCCTGGTGCCCAGGTGGGGGACCTTCCAGATCGAGTGGACAGGCTTTTGGCCCCAGCCGGGGTGGATCCAGTGATCATGGTGCATGTTGGCACCAACGACATAGGAAAGGGCAGAAGGGCTGTTCTGCAGGATAAATTTATAGAAGTCGCGGATAAGCTTAGAAGCAGAACATCCACGGTGGTATTCTCTGGAATACTTCCCGTGCCACATGCAAGCCAGGCTAAGTTAGCTGAGATAAGGAGATTAAATGCGTGGCTAAAAGGGTGGTGTAGGAAAGACGGGTTTAGGTTTATGGGGCACTGGAAGACCTTCTGGAACAGGTGGGACCTGTTCAAACTGGATGGGTTGCATCTGAACCAGAGGGGAACCAGTGTATTGGGGAGGCGTATGTGTTGAGTAGTTGAGGAATGTTTAAACTAAGGACTGGGGGGCAGGGAGGTTAGTTATGAATATAGGTGGGAGGAGACAGAAAGCCCCAATTGATATTAAAAGTGAGCACAATAAAAGGCCTACCCTTTGCAGTCTGTACTTAAACGCTAGGAGTATTAGAAACAAAATTCATGATTTAGAGGTTTTACTTTCATCAGACTCTTACGACATTAATGGAATAACAGAAACATGGATGACTGACAATAATGGAGAACAATTTAATATGGATGATTACATGTTGTTCCATAGAGACTGGATGAGGGAGAGAGGTGGTGTTGCTGTATACAGTACATAAAAGAAAACTTGCAGACAAGGGAGCTAAAAATAAAAGTACAGAAGCTGTATGGGTAAAACTAGATGCTAAAACTCAAATGGCCATATTGTCTGTGTTAGTTATATAGCACCTAAAGTAGCTGCAGAGGAAAGTAGAATGTTATATGATGATATCAGGATTATGAGTAATAAAAATGATGTGGTGGTTATGGGTGATTTTAATTTACCTGGGATACCGTCTCTGGCTTTTCTGTAAATGAACTTGAGATGGTGGAATTAGTACAAGATTGCTTTTTTACTCAGTTTGTTAATACCCCTACCAGAGGAGATGCCCTTCTTGATCTTGTTTTGTCTAACAACCAGGATAGGATTGGAAAATTAGAGGTTTTAGAACCACTGGACGGTAGTGGATCACAACATGATTAAATTTGAGGTTAATTTTAGTGTCCGAAGAGCAAAGTCCAAAACAAAAACATCCAATGTAAGGAAGGCTAACTTTAATGGAATGAGACTGAAACTAGATACTGTAAACTGGATGGAGTTAAGCAACAAAACTGTTGAAGAGGCATGGGAATTTTTTAAAAGCATGTTGTTGCCAGTGCAAGAGGACTTCATACCTGTTTCCAGCAAAACTAAATCTAGGAAACTGCAGCCAAGGTGTTTTACTACAGAAATTAAGAATAAAGTGAGGAGGAAAAGGGCTCTTTTCCACATATGGAAATTAACTAACAATTTCAAAATAAAGCAGGAGTATCTAAGTGTACAGGTTGAGTTAAAAAAAATAACATTAGACTCGCTAAGAGGAATGTAGAAAGGCAGATTGCATCGGAGGCTAAGGATGACATTAAAAGTTTGAAATCACTAATGTGCCGGATAGTAAAGGTCTTATAATTGAAAATGAAATTGATATAGTAAATAAGTTTAATGATTATTTTATACGGGTGTTCACAGTAGGGAACACAAGTAACCTGACACCATTTAGTACAAATACAGCATCATCTATGACCAATATATGTATAACTGAGGCTGATGTGGTACAAAGCCTAGCTAAGCTCAAAATGAATCACAGGGTCCTGATGGCATCTTACCTATAGCTTTAAAAGAGATGAGGGATATTATTAGCCAACCTTTAGCATTACTATTTCAGAAATCCTTATCTACTGCAGTTGGGAATTGCTGCAGTTTTGATATGAACTTGTGTCAAATCCACTGTGCTTTTCGCCAGGTGACAACATGCTGACCGCTATATCGGTGGCACGAGACTGTGGGATGATCCCACCACAAGACCGGGTCATCATCGCTGATGCCATCCCTCCCAAAGATGGGCAGGCTGCCAAGATCAACTGGCATTATGCAGATAGCCCTGTTCAAAACTCCAGCAAGAGTGTTCAAGTGGAGGTCAGTGGTCTGAGCCCCCCCTGTATGGAGGGTTAAGGAGATTGACAGTCCTTTTAATGTTTTTTCTAATGTTTATTTGACAATGATGCAAAGACTTGGCCAGACTATGGACCAGAATTTAGTCAGTGTTAGAAAATTATTGTATTTGGAATTTTGGTGATCAGTGTTGACACACCACAGCACACAACAACGAAATGTGTCCTCTGCATTTAACCCATATGTGACATCGTGACATAGCACAGGGCAGCTAATTCAGCGCCCAGGGAGCAGTGCTTGGGGGCGGTACTTTGCTGTCGGGATTCGAACCAGCAATCTTTCAGTTACAAATGCACATCCCTAATCATTAGGCCCCCACTGAACCAGGATACCCTTATTCATATATAGCACAAATAGATTTAGGTTGTCTCTCCTGAGTATTTACACTTCAGAGTATCACAGTTCACCCTTCGCTTTGCACCCCCCATGCTCGTTTCATCTCTTAAAATGACTCACTCTCCACAATACGTTTATTTGGCAGGAAGTGGAAATCGGCATGCAGGATGACGAAGCTGAGGAGTCTAGGTCTCAGGAGCAGTACCACTTTGCCATGAGTGGAAAGTCATTTGCTGTCATCACAGAGCACTTCCCAGATCTGGTGCAGAAGGTGGGGCCCCCAGCTGGATTGTTTCGCGTGTTTTGCTGTAACGTGACATAAGCTCTCGGTAACCCCCCCCCTCCCTTCCTCTGCCTCACGGCCACTCCGGTAGCTGGTTCTTCACGGCACCGTATTCGCCCGGATGGCTCCCGATCAGAAGACCCAGCTGGTGGAGGCTTTGCAGAGCGTGGAGTGAGTCTGTCATCTTGTTTAATGTTCCACCTTTTCATTCTGCCCCAGAGCATGTTGTAAACCAGGCTGTGTTTCTTTCATTTGCAGTTATTTTGTTGGAATGTGCGGCGATGGAGCAAATGACTGTGGTGTGAGTATTTGTTTGTCCATTTAAAGGCAAGCAGTGTCACACACAAAAGCTTACTATAAATGGGTAGAGATATTGATCAGACCTGCACGGTGCTGTAATGATGCTTACGATGTGTTCGGAGATCTCTTTCTGTTGTATTTGTTTAACGCATTGATTGTGTTGCATGAATGTGGTGATTTAATGAAGGTTTGCCAATGCATCTTCAGAGTGATTGATGTCCCCAGAGCCTGTTTGGTGCCTTTAACCTGGATTGCATATGAAGTCATTCAGCTCTCTGCTTCTTCTCCACTAGGCCCTGAAGAGAGCTCACAGCGGCATCTCTTTGTCTGAGCTGGAGGCCTCTGTCGCCTCCCCCTTTACCTCCAGAACACCAAACATCTCCTGTGTACCCAACCTCATCAGGTAATCCTCTGATGCATCAACACACAAAATGAAGATTCAAGTGAGGGCTGTTTAGCCTTCCACCTTAACTTTCTGACATTATCAGTAGAGTGACCCTACAGAGGACTGGGATGCACAGCTTCATCTCAGCATCTCCTAGGCTGAAACCGCACTGCTTGCTTTAGTTATTAATGCAGTGCTTGCTTTATCAAGCTCTGTGGACATTCATTTATACTACTTGGTACAGTGGATGTGCTTCCCTGGGACTTGAACCCATAACCTTCTTAATATGTACATTTCAACTGGTGTTTCGCTGTAGGGAAGGACGAGCTGCCCTCATCACGTCCTTCTGTGTGTTCAAGTTCATGGCCCTCTACAGTATTATTCAGTACATCAGCGTGACTCTCCTGTACTCTGTGAGTGTGCTATGCCCTGCCCGGCCTGCCCAAAGAGGGTGCCTGTTTCACTTGCAAGGCGCTCCATTGCTTCTATACCCTGAAGGTAGTTGGCCAAAATCTTGACGATTTGGTCTTTGACGTTTCAGGTCCTGAGCAACCTAGGAGACTTCCAGTTCCTTTTTATCGATATTGCCATCATTCTCCTCATTGTCTTCACAAGTGAGTATTAGAAGACATCCTTAGTTAGTGCCAGGGAGCCCAATGAACATAAAGGCTGCCGTATACTAATGACTTCTGGACAAAACGAAATCGAACACATCGGCGAGAACAATCAGTTACACACTTAAAACGATGCTGCTGCATTGTTCGTTCTGTGTCACACCACAACCCTTGAAGGCACAGAATGTTTTTGATGCAGCTGACCTACATACCGAGCACAAATAAACGTATTGTGGAGTGTGTGTCATTTTACGAGATGAAGCAATTATGGGGGATGCAAAGCAAAACGTGAACTGTGACTCTCTGAAGTGTAAATACTTTGGAGAGACGTCCTAAATCTAACTATTTGTGCCATTTTAATAAAGGAGATGACGGCTCTTTTAAAATGGAAGTTGCTCTTTATTTACAGCCACTATTGGTTCAGTACTAGCAGTGGCACAGCTAAGGAAGCCAACAATTTGCTTGTCACAGTTACATTTACTGTTTACAGAAATGCATGAATACACATATTGATTTACACTATTGAAACTGAGGTGTGGTGCAAAGCATGCTGGTAACTGCACAATTAGTCCTACTGATGAACCCCATGGTGTTATTTTTATGTCTCGCAATAATGGACAGTGGGTGGGATCAGAATAAAAAGTTCCCTTTGGGTGCCTTACACAAGCAATCGGTAATCACTGCTCATGCTACATTATGTTGCCAAAATGACATTGGATTTTGTCAGTGTCGTCTGAAGTATATGGCCAGCTTTAGTGCAATTAGGCTGAATTTATGAGAACAAGTTAGCGTCAGGGCAAGAGATTTTTGCTTTTAGCCGATGATGTAGTCTAGTTTTATTCAGAATCCATGGTTGGTGACACACGTTAGATGATACTTTTCTATGATACCTGGAGTTTTCTGTATCACACATCATAAAAACTGAATTTCCACAAATCTGCCTGTGGTTCCTCCTCTTGTGAGCTGATGGCAGCACTATGCTAACCTTTGACCTGAAACCATGAACGCTGGCTGCTCTTTGCGCCCTTGTTCTTGCAGTGAGTTTGAACCCGGCTTGGAGGGAGCTGGTGGCTCGCCGCCCCCCATCAGGCCTTATCTCCAGGCCGCTGCTTTTCTCTGTGATGACCCAGATCCTCATTTGCCTGGGTTTCCAGGCCCTCTCTTTCTTCTGGGTCCAGCACCAGAGCTGGTATGAGAAGTGGACACCGTACAGCGAGTGAGTACCGCCATTATATGCCATACGGTACAGTACGTATTCTATATATTTTTGTAATAACTGGTGCACTGTATAATGTGAGGTTTTTTTTATATAATTGAGGTTGTTTTATTCATTTCTTTTAATTTTTGTATATCTATTATGTAAGGTAGAGAGATTACCAGAGCATAAGTATTTCATTGTATATTCAGAATAAATGACAATAAATTTGAACTTGTGAAATTCTCCTTTTGTCCGTTTCTCTCTCTGTTCTTCAGCGCCTGCAACGCGTCTGATTTTAGCAATATGTCAAATCACAACGACACAGAGATGGACGAGCACAACATCCAGAACTATGAGAACACAACTCTTTTCTACATCTCCTCCTTCCAGTACCTAATTGTTGCTGTCGTGTTCTCCAAAGGAAAGCCCTTCAGGCAGCCAAGCTACAAAAACTGTACGTGTTCTTGTTTTACTTGCATTTTCTCCAAGTGTGTCTATAAGGTTGTTGCTTCTTGAGTAAATTCAGTAGTCAGTGTATTCTCAGTGTCTCTGAATAATGCTGTGTAACCTCATGTGAGGCATGAATAATCTCCTCGTGTTTCTCTCTCTGCAGGGCCCTTCGTGCTGTCAGTTCTCACCCTTTACTCTTTCCTGTTCTTCATCATGTTATATCCAACCTCCACTATCGACGACTTCCTGCAGGTGAACGTGCAATCACAAGTTGATAGCATGGTCTTATGAATGCATTGCCAAGTGGAGTTCTGAGTGTTGTGATTCAAATAAAAGGCATCAATTTTAAGATTAAAATAGCTTGTACTGGAAGACTTTATGGTAGATAGATGCTAACAAACTGTACAGACTATTGGGTTCATCCCATGCTCTCCCCTCTTAGATCGTGTGTGTTCCATTTGAGTGGCGAATGACAATGCTTTTCATCATTGGGCTCAACGCGACTGTATCCATCTTCATGGAGGTATGTTACTGTGTGACTTCTCTTGTGATGTAAGGAATATGACTCCAATATAGGTAATGGCCTATTGCTTAGTTTACTTGAATTTTTCAACATAGATACTGAGTCATGGAGCCTAACATGATATTTTTGTGCATGACGGTACACTTTGGGATTGGCCGTAAGCTCCTTCTTTTTCCTTCAAGCTTGTCCAGAATGTGAGCATTTTTGACACTGACATCTCCTTAAATGTAACCTAAATGAGCCTGATCGCCCCTGCCTGGTTTGCTGTGAAAAAAGCATGGCCTGCCTCAGCACACACTCTCGCCTGGTTGCTGCTCCTCAGTTAACCGGTTGAACTTCTATCCTAACTTATCAGCACTGGGACATAACAGGAAAGAACAGCCCCGAGGCGGATGCCTCATAATGCTGCCGTTTGAGTTTCACTACATCAAACAAGGTCATAAGTCCCACAGTTTAAAATAGCGTTCTGAACCCACCGGCTTACTTTGAGTCAAGTAGCTGGAAGGTTGCCCCCTGACTGGTACCAGGCATCTGAGTCATGGGCACTGCTTTACCTGATCCCCGTGGGGCCCCTAGGCTCCTGTGTGAACTCTGCATGGAAGCTTAAGGCACCACACTTCTAAGCCAAGCTTTCTACATCCAGCACAGACCTGCCATCCCAAAGCAGCATGACTGTGCGAAGCCAGGGTGAATCATTCTATAGAAACGTATACAGTCAGACCTCAGACATTCTTGAGGTTAGGTTCCAGAACACATCATGAATGAGGAGAATTCACAGATGTTTGGTATAGTCACTAAAAATGGTAATATGTGCTTATTTCTATAGTTAAAACCCTAAATATGCTCCCAAAACACTTTAATTTCATTTAAAAGTTAGCTTAATACATTACCTTTAAAAAAAACAAATGTTTGATGTAAAGCTAGAGTACAGTATCGCCTAATGGATATTTGTCACACTAGCACATGTACAGTACAGTATACTAATGTTACCCCTACTAATTCATAGAACACGGCATTGGCTGCCATTTTCTTTTGCATTCACAGTAAGGTCAAATGAGTAAACACACAGGACTGTAAACTTATTGACAGAAGTCCTATACGGCTACTGCACAATCAGCAGGGTGAAAAGCTGGTAACCATGGTCTGTGATTCCAACTCTTTCAGTGTTTATAGCAGATGCGTCTTGAGAAGGAAGCCCGCGACGCATTTGCTATATACGTAAACATTTGCACCTTTCAAGAAATTTATAATTTTTGTGCGTTGAATTTACGTTAACGTATATTTACTATTACAAAATAGTAAATGAACTATTTAGTAATATTTATCTAACCATTAGCGTTCCAAAGCAATAAACTTTGCGAATGGGATTCGCATCTTGTAAAGGTACAGTACAGTATGTACATAAAAAGGAACGAAAGAAAGACACGTTTTAAACGATTTTTTTAAGTGATCAATATTGTATGTCTTGAACTTTCCCCAAAAACACTAGATCTTCATTAACTAAATTTTTCACCAATTTTACACTTAAAAGCATGAAAATTGCTACGAAAATTAAACATGAACACTTCTGCAGGGTTTTTTGAGGATTTCGCAGATGTGCGGAAAAAACGCGAATGCAAATAAGTTTGGTTCCAATGAAATTCTTGCAGGTCTGTGAATTTGCGAATCACGAAGTGCGAATGCACGAGGGCTGACTGTACAGCTGTTTTGAAAGATTTCTATCAATTCAGGATCTCAGCTAAAGTGATTTTTTTTCCTTTGCTTTTATTCCTTTTCTTTTTAATGACCCCCACAAACATATTCCCAGCTAATATACCAGAGAATCATATCTTGGATCGATTCAGGTAATGAAGGATAAGTTGAGTAAAGATGATCAGTAGCTCTCTTAATTTTCTCCTGCCCAATGCAATGTTCTTTAGATGCTCATCCTTGACATCATCTTATGGAAACTCGTGTTCAGCCGAAACAAGCAGGGCAGCTATGCCGTGACCCCTGCTTCACAGTCACCTCAGGTTGGAAACCTCACGCTTTGTTCACTGTAGCTTTGACTTCCTCATGTCTCTCTTCACCCTGCCCTCTTCTCACACCTCCCTCCATACTGCCTTTGACTTTGCATGTGCATACAGTGATTGCTGTGATCAGTTCACCCCCCTGCTCCACTCTGGGCTCCTGGTGCAGGAGTTCCTTGGCTTTTTGGCTAATACACTAGCAGCTCCATTTGGCTCCATTCTGTCTGTAGCATAGTACATCTACCTTGTAGCTATGAATGGAGAACCTTCATCAGATATGTCTTCATCATAGGATTGTTTAGAGATCTCATTCTGGGACTACAGTATCTCTTCCGGTCAGCTATAATCGACAGGAATGGGCCTGTGAGTTTGTGAGTCCTGGTGTTGCTGGGCCTTACCCCTATGGTGAACAGTCTCAGGGTAGAGGCTGTGGTGAACAGTCTCAGGGTGGAGGGAGAAGTTTAAAGTTGGTGGAGGATTCAAATCAAATTCAGTGTATTGTCTGCAGATAGCCAATAGGCTCTTTTATCATAATTATTACTGTTGTTGTTATTTTTTTGTGGGGGTAGGCCTTTATATTTATTTATTTATGGGGGGGGGGGTTGCAACTGTGGGAGGAAGTCCTTTTTTCCACCCCATGAAACTCTGGCTCATTACTTTTTGAACCATTCTTTTGCTAAAAGCTTTTTCCCTTCACATACATCCCACTATTTGCATGACAAAAAAAATGTGCTGAAATGGATTCTCTTTCGATAGTAGATAATTTAGTTTATAGTTTTATAATTTAGTCTTTCCATATGGTCATGTATTACACTAAACATTCCACGTTGGACTCTGGGATGCAGAAGGGAGAAGCACCAGTGAAAATTGGCTGATGTCTTGTCGTTCTTACCATTGACAGTCAGCCATTGAGTGCTGGGGCTCCAAGTGGCCCTTGTGGCTTTGCTGCCGGAGGAAGCAGGTCCCAAAGGCACGCTACATGCACCTGGCCCAGGAGCTGCGCATCGACCCTGACTGGCCCCCCAAACCCAAAACCATCACCGAGGCCAAGACACCCCCAAGTCCTGAGAGCCGATCCTCCCACATCCAGTCTGCCTCCTAGCACTTCCTCTGGCCTATGGGCTGAGGTGACCAAAAAGAGACTGAGATAGTGGAATGGTAAGCACTGAACATAGGCAGTGACCTCTGGAAAGCAGAGCCTCTTCAGTTTCTTGTGCTCGCTTTGCAGCCTGCGGCAGAGCCACTCCAACTAGCATTAATCTCCCAGGTTATTGCTGCTCTCCTTCATAATGTAAGGTTGTGCTTTTTGGATTCTCAGGCTGGGAACTGTCATTTCTTGTGCTTTTGGGACTCTTCTCATGCCATTGCTCAGTTTCAGAAAAAAATCAAGAATGCAAATGGATTCTGCAATGGGATTTTTAAGATGATATCAAGATTTCCTGTGAAAATCATACTTTACACACTGAGAGCTTAAAAATGGTTAAGAATTAAAACTTGGGATCGGCCATGGGAAAAAACGACATGTAACCCGAGAACGCACTGTTTAAAAAAAATAATAAAATCTCAAAAAATGCAGATATGGCTTCATGATGCAACAAGCTGCTGAAATGCTGTCAGCTCATGCTGTCATGGTTCTTAGTTAATACTGAAATTGAGATGTGTATTTTCTATATTTCTTCCTGTGGAAGAACATTCTGAAGTATGATAATCAAGAATAGCCAGGCATTGTGAACAGAACCCTCATTACAGATGAAACTATGGTCTGTTTTCCAAAGTTCCGACAAAGGTGGTGTGGAACGATGACATGTGGCAGCCTGCCACCTCGTGTTATCCGGTGAGCCCAGTAACTACATCCAGTAGAATTCCGACACAGCATTTCATTTTATCATTTTCTTTTAAAAATAAATTGTTTGCTTTTCAATTACTAATAATGGCACAAATTGACAGATTGTCTTATTGTAATGGACAAAGTAATAACAGAAAACATGGAGGTAGCAGCGATGTTAGGGAGCGGGGAGTTGTGCTTGTGTCATTTGCAGAGCACTTCAGGTCACTTTTGACTGCTTTTTCTGTCAGTTTATTACTATTTTCATAGCAATTGTTAATTTCTGACTGGGAGAGAACTCTACCTTGGTGCATGGTAGTGAAAACATAGGCCAAAGCTGACAGCATGTGCAGTGCTTGGGGCAATTACCTAATGACCCATCAGGGGAGCTTAGACTGAATTGAATTCATTCTCAAATCATGTTCATTTTGTTGGATTTATCAATTATCAAATGTCAGTAATTGTGGGAAACGCGCAACATATGACCTGAAAAAAATGTTTATAAAATTTATTTTTGTTTAGAAGTGGATCTAAGAGGTTTCTTTTCCTTTTTTCACAAATTATGTTGTAACACAGAAAAATGTTCTTGATGCACAGGTGAAGAACCAAATCTGAGAAATGTGCTTCAGCTTGTTCTTTTAGTCTTGTATGTAAATGACCACCCTGGCTCCCCTTGTTAGGTAAAGCAATAAGACTAAGTGGAAACTCGTGTGCTTTTCCTGTTTGTCAATAGGACAAGATGTTAGCAGTGGGTTTTGGAAGAAAAAAAAATGAAGCTGTCTCTTATCATTGCTGTTTTGTATACGTTAATTATGTTGTACGATTAAATAGCTTTTGTATTTAATTATTGAATTGTATCCACTCTCCATCAGAAGTAGTAAATATTCAAAACTACTCTACAGTACTTTTTACGTATTTACATTTTCATTAGTCAAGATTTTATTACAAAAGCAGTTCACTTTCATTATGTGTACTCAAAATCATCACAAATAACTTCATGGAATTCATCTACAGTATTTTATTTTTAAACCAATGAAATCAAGACCAAATTTTGATTTGGTGGTACAAAAGTTTTGAGTTTTGATAGTGTATAAGATCACAAGTATATAGGCTTCGCTGCTAGTACAGTTCAGCTTTGGATCTTGGAAATTTTTATTGAATTTATTGCCTCAGGTAAATGTAAAGAAAACTGCAAACATTGTATTACATATATGGATCATTGTAATAAATGCTTTTGGTAACTTTCTCTTTTCCTTCTGGAAGTTCAGAATTATGCATTTTTTTTCCTAAATATATGTAATGAATTTGCAAATTTTTCTACGCGTAATTTATTTTTTATTTATTTTTATTTCATTTCCATGGGCTGTATTTCTAATTTTGAAAGCTTGATTCCTGTTTATTTACTCTTTTTTTAAATAAACATTAAGAAATTGTATTGTGGTGTTAATTTTGTGTTATTTTCATTTTTCATTTCCTGACCCACATTTCCTGAGAACATCACATCCTGGTACAGGGCATTAAGGGACTACAAAGAGTGACTTGGGCAGCAGAGCACTGTACCAGATCTTCTCTATCATCTCTGCAGGACATTTATACCAGGAGATGCCAGAGCAGAGCAACCAGGATCTAAACAGACTCGTCTCATCCCAAGTCTGTCTGAGCTGCTGAAATCAGGCAGGCGCTTCAGAAGTATTATGGCAAATACAGAGAGACCCAGGAGGAGCTTCTATTTTCACGCCATAAGACTTCTTAATCAGGACATGCCACTACTACATCCTTAAAATACACAACTCATGTAAATTCTTCCTACCTGTCACCAACCTGCTATTTTTAACAATCTTTAAATTACATGTCTTTACATATATTTATACTTATGTCACTGCAACAAGGCACACTGCACTTTAAATCATATGCACATGTACAGTTTTTAAACCTTAAGATTATTTTCTATATTAGAATGACTATATTTCTCTATATTATGCGTGTATTTTATTCTTAGTTTTTTTTTTAACTTTTAGATTTTTTAGATTTTTTTAGATTTTTAGATTTTTAAGATTTTTAACTTGCTGTCTTATTCTTAATTTTTAATTCTATTTTTGATTTGCACAGTCTAAGGCAGGGGTCATCAACATGGTGCCCGTGGGCACCAGGATGCCCCCAAGGACCACATTAGTCGCCCGCGGACCTGTTCTAAAAATAGCACAACTCACCAGTGAGCAGCATGTAAAATTTTATTTTATCCTGTTGTTATTCTTCTTTAATCACATTTGCATTTATATAGATTTGAAAATGACAATATCTAAAAAAAAAAAGCATTTAAAACATGTTTATTATATATAAAGTTTACATAACTTTGGGAGGGCGTTTCAAACTGGTAGCCCTTCGTTTCAAAAATTTTGGTGACCCCTGGTCTATGGGTTTTCAGGGTACATTTCACTACATGTTGTACTAGTATTAACATCTAAGAGTAGCTGCAAAGTGGCTATTTCTGCTGCAATGAGATATTGGTTCAGCATTTTGAGTTGATAGCAACGATTGCACACCTAACTGGTTTTCCAGTGCAATTTGTAATTAACATTTGAATGTTTGCATGTGGACTTCATGTTCAATAGCTGTCCCTCTCATACAATCACTGATGGTGAATGGACACAGTGTAATTATCAAAAAAGATACATTATCTGAAAATCGGCTGGCATGCATTGTATCCCATAGTCCATTAAGGCACACTTTATTGAACATGTCTATCTCATGTATATTTAGTAGTCCATTTACTGTACCCTTTTCACTTTCAATGGTGCAGTGTGTGAGTATGTTATGCATAAGGTGGGATAGTAGGCTGTGCTTACAATGTGTTGTAATGTATCTGGTGCAGTAAGCTAGTGAGCTGTTGCATGTTGTAGCATGTCGTAGGGATGCATGTCACATCCGTCCCTTGGCCTCCGCCAGGGCTGGACTGGGACCAAAAAATGGCCCTGGCATTTTTTGGTCATGGCGGCCCACTACGATTATTTATACGATATGCGACATACCAGAGGATATA